TTTATAATAATTTATAATTTTCCAAACATTCTAAAAGGTATTGATACTTAAAACTCAAATTTTTGAAATTCCATGATGTCAATATTTCATAAAAATAATGCTTGTTTGTAAAAATAAGTAAATATACGTAACCAATATAATATTATTTATAATGGTACATTATGATTAACGGTTTCCCTAAATTTTTTGTTGTATGGTCATGTAATAACGATCGACAATAGTCAATCTAGAGCCAATCAGTAATCAGTAGAGGGGGCAAGGGTAGACACATGTCCGGGGGCGTCAATTCTCAAAGGCGGCAAAATATTTTAGCAAAATTAATTTTAAAAAGATTTACCTAATGAAGAAAAAATAAAACAATAAAAAAAAGAAAATAGTATGTTTTATTATGTTATAATTTGTTTAATTTGTTAATTAAAAAAAGTATTAAACGATTTTCATTTATAAGTTATATTTTAATATTAAAGAATCTCGATCATGGACGAAATAAGAAGTATTATATTATTATTATTGTTTATTTATTTATTTATTTTTTTTGAGGAGGGGCATAAATAATATATCCGGGGGCGCCAAATTTTTAAATACAGGCCTGACGATAATTATTCTTATTTTTTCAAAACCCCTCCGACATTTTTTTCTGCATCCGCCCCTGGTTATTAATATTCATTATATCAAAATACAATAATGATATATTATTATTATTGAAGATGGACATCGTCGTAATTTCGGGGAAAATAAATACCCGCACTAAAAATAAACATATCCACAAGACTGGATTTCATAGACAAAAATATTTAAAGCAGTTTATTATTGACTATCATCAATTAATCACTAAAATCACTTTTTGATGAAAAAATAGTGAAAAATAGAATTAAAACAGCACAGTCACGGAAAACTGAATTAAATGCGTCCTGTTTAATTCCAATTGAAAAAACAGGACGTATAGTCATCCTACTTTAGTCCCTTGTTGAAAACTAACGTTCGTTTTACAGGTATTATTTTTTAGTTAATCGGGACATTTCAAGAAGTTTTTCTAAATATCTTTTCGTCCATGGCTTTTATTTTACGATTATTATTGCCTACGTTTTAAATACGAAATAAAAATTAATAACATTGAACAAAATATGTTAAATAATATGGAATGATAAATATACATCGACACGTGTGTGAACGATACATTTAATATCATCATCAAAAATCTCGGGAAATCGTGTTCGTTGAGTAATGCTAATATTTTTAAGTTATAAATTTTACACTAGAGTGTTTATATAAAAAAAACTTCCACTAGTGGAACGTGTTTGGAATAAAATGTAAGTTTATTATAGTCGATACGTATCAATTCGGTCGAAAGCCTTACCTTCCGGTGTATTGCACAAAGTCTTTTTTCAAATACAGTTCCATCTCCACCATGCTGGATAAATGCGATCTCTGCAGCGAAAAAAATTTGTACGTTATAATTATATACTCGTATAAATACCGTTTTATTGAATATAAAAAAATAATTGTACAAGCATAGTTAAAATCGAAAATTCTCACCATGCATGTCGTCTTGACCACGCCATCTCTTATCTTATAAGCGGCCGACGTAATGTCTTCAAACGACAATTTCAGCGGGCTCGATTCCAAACAGTAGGGATCTTCAACTTCCATTTCCTCGGTGCTCTGTATTATAGTATTTCAACAATTTTCAATGAATCATTTCACCCGTTTACAAGTACAATCGATTTATTATGACGATGATGAGATGGTTTTCGTGCGTTTAATAATTATATATATATAATCATAATTACAGGCATTGAAATCAATACTTGACGATGGATGCGCGTATCCAACAATTATAGAAATATTGATAACGAACGTGTAAGAAAAAATAACTTCTATAAATACGTCGAATTCTAATTTTTTTTGAACTTTAAACAGTGATAAAAATTAAGTTAACTGGTGAGCTGGTGAGAACAAAATTATAGACGTATAAAAAGTTTTTTTTTAAATTAAATTTTTTTCATTAATTATGCGGTTAAAATGCATTACATACCAATAACATCAACCAAATCAATACGATCGACGGAATAACATATTTTTCAATACTAAAATTTGTTTATAAATAAAAAAATTTATCGAACACTGCAACACTCTCGTGATTTTTTGTTGCTTGTTTTCGTATAAAACTCCTTAACGAGTATATTAAAAAATGTAAATTCACCATCAAAAAAACAATCGAATAAATACGAAATATAACAATAGCACATGTCCCATATCACTCAGTCCGTCGATGTCGAACAGATCACGTTTTCAAATATAATATTAAATAAACGGTCTTCTACAACCGTTATTCTCATAATTATAATTATCGACCATTCTACGACTTAAACACCTCGTCAGAACATTCTACACAGGATCTTATTTAAGGGATGGTTCGGGGTGGCAATCGACCCTTGAAATATTTAAGGGACGGCAATATTTGTGATTCTAAATAAAAGCAAATCGATTTTTTTGGCATTTTCAGTGGAAAATTATTTATGAATAAATAAAATTATATAAAAAATAAATATTATACTATAAAATAATTTACTCTTATATTATTTAGTAGCGTACAAAATGTATTTATCTATATCTATTTAAGAGTACCTATTTTATTTGTCATGGTATTTTATTAAGATATAGGTATTAGTTTAATTTTGATTTGTATGGGGACGGTACATTGAGACCAAAAGGTATAAATTATTTAAGAGTTTCACTATCAGTCTTTTTTTTTTTTAAGTCTGACAATTTTCTATAACTTTATTCGTGTAATTATGATTCAGTTTTGAAATATTGAGTTATAGTGTACTGAAGTGGGGGAAATTAATGACTTTCTAATGACTAGTTGGGGACACTTATTTTTGGTTTTACACTTCACGAAAGAGGGATGGCAAAACGTTATTGCTCCTGGGCGAAGAAATCTCAAATACGGCCCTAGTTCTACAATAGTACATGCATATATTATATGGTTGTCGTATTAATCGTGTACTTACATCATCGCTGTACATTTCGTTACCCGCGACCATTTTATCAGTCAGAGAACCTCTCTTGCGGGATACAGCCAGAAAACCGAAACTAATGGTTCATGAGCTAATGAGGGCGTATCTGCGTCACAAACGCGCCTACAAAAGTTGACTAAGAACGTGAAAATCGCTGACTAACCGCACTATAAAGCAAAACGGACGAACACGACTGATACGATAGTGATGGTTCGCTCAGGTTTCGGAGTCATTTTAATTCAAATATATTTGATTAATCAGCATTTTATAGCACCGCACTTATCAACGTGTATTCCCATGCCCTGTGTCGACTAATGAAACCCGTTATCTCGCTATACCAACTATTATACGAGATAACAGTGTATCGCAATAACTATGATATTCCTAATGGTTATGATATCATTTGCGTATTAAACTACTTATATAATTACCGAACGTCGCGTTTAACGATAAAATGTAACTCATATCCACTTGTTTTCCCGATTCTCAATCTGATAGTTCTAAAACGTATCGGAAAATTGAAGAATGAAAATATTTGGAAAACAACAAAATTGTTTGTTTTAAACATGTTGCACGAAACGGCCGTTAAATGATGTACCTAACAGCAGTAATCATCGGAAAAAATAATAATAATGATCATAAACAATCGTAAAAACGGAATAATTCCAAAGGTCAAGGGCCGCTTTTTGCGTACCAAATTATCTTATCGTAACAGGTAAGTGTTACACCGGTCGGGCACTCGAATATTCCGAACCGCTTACTATGTTTTTACTACGGCGATAACAATATAGGTTTCAATGTTGTACAACGCACGTCGTATAGGCACTCGTGACATTGTACGACGGGTATAATGGTTATTATTATTGATTTCAAGTTTACGGATTTCAATCCGAAAATCCGAAATATTGTGTTTCGACCTTTGTGTTCGGCCTCCTAAGTTGGTCCTCCATCCGTGGTTAGATCGAAACTCGTTAGCAATTATAAACGTTCAACATTACCATCGCCATGATTGTCGAGCAATCCTATTCGTCTTACGAATAAAATAACACGTACAACAACCTGTTGCACATCCTTGCTGAGTCGTCTGGTAATAAATACGTCGTCTAGTTGTCTCTAGGATTTCGACCAAAAGCACTGCAAGTGCAAACAATTGATACAAAATATTACAAAATATGCGTAAAAGTTATCATCGTTAACTCGTAAATCGATTGAGATACAATACATTTAATATATACGTGTACATATTCGCAATACGTATACGATATATATTATTATATACTATCGACGAGAAAAGCAGAAGTCCTCTTGTACCTTCGAAATATAAACCTAACACAAAAAATATAAAATCTCATATAACTTTATCAAATTGTGTTGTAATACAAAATATTGCGTTATTATGCTACATTTTATAATTAATTAGCTTATAACTAAATTTTAAATTGAAAAATATGCTAAAAACCAATGTTGATAAAGCCCTTAGGGTTTAATAACAATAAAAAAAAAAAATTATAAAATACATTAATTTTTATCCAAAACGCAATTATGCTTACTAAAAATGTCAATAAACGATTGCTGTAAAATAAAACATCCTATTTCATATATTATATTGCAATACGAGTATATTGATTACAATCATATGAACATAGTATCTACTACTTATGTTAATGCAATATCTACATTTGGGCAATTTGATGTACGAAAATTAACTAGAGTTATAATTCCATCGCCACATTTATAATCTGATAAAATATATGAAATGCAATATTTTAGTGTAAAGTCAATAGGTATAGAAAAAAATTGGTTAAAATAAAATAAAATCGTACATCATCTTACACGCGGGCTGTGGACCCCATCACGAATAATCTTTTTAAATAGTATGTTAATTTTAACGTTTGTTACATCAAGTATGTTTATGTAGATAATATATATATATATATACTTGCTGAATATACACTGCATTCTCACAAGGGCTATTGTAAGGCCCCGATGGTCAATGCCAAATATAAAAAAGACTACAATTCTTTATGAGTACTGGTAAGGTACGTGAACTCCGTTTTATTGCGATATTATCAGATTCATGCCCAATGTCTGTAAGTCATATGTACGTTTATATAAATATAATAAATATTAATAACCAAACTAAATCAATCTATATTTATTTGTAATATTAAGATTCCAAAATTATAAACGCTCCTAAGCTGTGGTAAAATATATTCAAAAGGACGAGAAAACTATCCCTGAACATCACCGCTGCACATGAATTACGCCCCAAACATATTTAACGACAACACGAATTGCGTTCCAACGTAAAAACATTATTTTCCTTTCTATTTCACACAGACTTAGAACTGTCGATAGCACATTATGACTATCGGTAGGTTGAAAATATTGATTTTTATCGTTATTATGCTATTAGTACAAGTTAAATGAAAATTTGTAGGTTAAAATTATAGAAATGTATTATAATAATTAAAATGAATAATAATAATAAAAAAAAAAAAAAAAAATGATAAAAACTTAATTATAATCAATATCAATATGGGTTGATTGGCCACCTTCATATTTTGCCATATTTTGTTTTAAATTATCTTCTTTTCCACATAACATAATCCGTTTGTTTTTAGGTATATGAATATTTCGTTGTTTGATATAAGTTTCTTTATATGCTTTTTATAAAACATCTATGAATTGGAATATATTCAGGTGTGCTGAGTAAAACATATTTTTAAACTTGAAACGAAAGACTTCACAATTATTCGTAGTTATAGTCGAATTATAGAACATGAATACGAGTACATTGCCCGCACGGAATGCGAGTGGTCATAATATGTATATATTTAATGTATAATTGGAAAACTGCTGTACTTTTTCATCTTCGGGTAAAATTGATACAACATCGTCAGTAAAAAAAATTCTCTCACTCATCTGGTCTTAAAAACGGGAGACCAAAAAAAAATAGTTTCTTGCAGTCATTTAAATAAAACCGGTCGCAATTCATGTGGTCGTTTAGATTAAGATGGACGCAATTCGTGTGCAGCCATCATCACAAATCTAACTGGTTAACCCCAACCAAGTCACATAATAATTAAATATTTTATTAACCATTAGTTATTATAATAGATGTTGTAATAGGATAGATGTATATAAATATATTTATAATACACGTATTTATTGCTCCTTCACAAAATATACATTTTTAATTTTAACTTATAGATTCGATTTAAAATCAATCAGAACAATCTTGGTCATTGAAATGGATTTCTAAATTTGTTTTACTATTATGTTAATCATTTGATAATTATGTAATCAGTTAAATAAAAAACTACATAAATGTTATAGTTTTGAACTGTAAGTTAACTAGACTGTTTCGGACTTAAAGTTTTCGAATTTTAGAAATGTAAGCAAAATTGAAATTCATATTTTTACATTTTCTCCGTGATATTATAAAACTGCTTTTCATATTCTCGGTATATACAAATCATTTTTTAATGAAAAATTTACGTTTATTTTAATGTATAAGCTATACAATTCTTAGATTAATTAAATGTGTCCCATGCGATATGATAATCACAATAAAATAGTATATATATATATATATATATAATTTTATAGTAATGCACGTTCTGAATAAGTGTTCGTCTATTAAATTCAAATAAACGCATTAAAAACAATTAATACGTAGGTTTTCGCTTGATTGTGTTCATATTGTGCAACTTATCAAAAAATAATTTGTAACTGCATTCGGTTTATTATTACTTATTATATTACTGCTGTAAGACTTGACTATTATCAATATTGTGATTTTGTTCGTTTGCTATGTGATTAATTGACACTCTATGTCGCAGTGAACAACAGTCAAGTGTATTATTGTGTATAATATTCAGTATTATTTACCACCAAATAATGATAAACATTAACAATGTGGGCACTGAGAATCGCGATTTAAAAGTACTCGAAATCCAAAACTTCAAAATATAAATCACAAAAATTTAATTTTTTAATTTTTCATTTAATAAATAAAGTTAGCATTCACAACACGTTTATTGTTTTTGTTTTTCTGGTCTGTGCATAATATGTTATTACTAATGCTATACATAAATACATATAATCTCGTTAGCAATTAGCCCACTATACTTATACTAAATATTTATTACAATATTGTCGCACTCGCAGTCGTTTTTAGTATACTTGTGATGGGAGTTGTAAATCAGATTTTTTAGTTTAAATCGACTATAAGTAATCGTTTACAATTGCTTCGCTTTATTTTGCCGTAATAAAATTACACTATCCGAGCCGTTATTAAATATTATATATTAAATATAAAATGTTACTAGCACTGGAAACTAAACAAAACAACCGGATTACAGAGTTCGTACACTGTACACTACTTTCGAGGTTCAAGTATTTCTTGTCGATTTATCAAATTGAAGTTGATTTTAATAATAAATCCAATCATGAATATGGACGTATTATTCGATATCCAAAGGTCTCGTAAATTATTACGACTATAAGGAAACATTGTAAACTATATTTTAGAATTTTCGATTTTCAAAAGAACGTTTTATACTTTACTATTTAGGAACATAATACATTAAATATGGTGATTTATTATAGTGATTACAACGTGAACCATAAAATTGTAAATATCGTTTTTAATAATTTACGAGAAATATGATAACATGATTTAGCATCGATTTTTTCGAAAATAACTGATACCCAGTATATCCGATACTCTATTAGCTTCCAAATTAGAGACAATGTCGATCGATAGTATTCTTATTTAAAGAATAAATACCAACTAACAAAATGTTTATTATTTTTTTTGAGATTTACAAAATAATTTAATAAAAATATTCGTAATTCCAGTAATTAATTAAATTAAAAAAAAAAAATGATTTGATTTCATAATTAAGAACTCAATTAAATTTTTATTTTTAAAAATGTAATTTTACGTGAAATACACAAATATAGTTTTTAGTCAAGGGGGTAGTTTCTTTCTGATTTGACTGTTAAAAACTCAATATTTCTCACAATAACAATATAAATAGCTTATAAATTAAAAATACCTATTGTGGTCCTACATTATACATTGATTAAATATTTTGTGAACTATAAGCACAATAGTCAATAATCATTGTAATTATTTCGAATACAGTTTAGAAAATATATAGGTACGCAAACTTTTCAAATGTATTACTGTTCATGGACTTATCGAAGGAACATAATCCATTATTATTACTGAATTTTTATCGAATTCACAACAATTTTTTGAGGTTGAAAAAGAAATTATTTTTAAAATGTTATACGTAGATATAAATCTATTATTATAATACAAAATTATTATACCGAAAAAATTAAAAAAAATTTATACAAAAACATTTTTAAGAATTTAACCAAGGTAAATTTATTTTTATGATTTGTGAAATAACGTGTAGTGTTATCAAAGTTCATTGTTTGTAAAAACTATTTATAAATAGGTAATATTAACTAACTACGACTTCGTTAAACAATATTAAGCAATTGGTAGTAACGAGTACATAGCAATAATAAATTCATCCATATTTTATGTTGAAGATTATCATTTTTTTTTTTTTTTTATTCCTGGTTAATTATAAGTTATATAAATTATAATATATTGGTTGGTTTATTTTAGCTATATATATATTTTTTATTATTAGCATTAGTTTACTAGTGTAAAATATAAAACTAAATGTAATTTAATACATCATTAAATAACCATATTAATTATGTATCAATCGTACGTCATAATACGCATATTAATTAGAAGTTTCTCTAGTAATTACAATTCTTCTTAATTCGTTAATACTATAAGTATGGATTTTAATATCAAAATACATTGCTCAACACACAAATATCATTACATTTCTGTTCCAAGTTAATAGATAATAAATTATCATTCTAATTTTTATGCGATCAAATAGTATGTTAATATACGAGTATATTAGCTTATCGTTACAGTAACACTTAAAGTCTATGTTTATGGGTAAGAGAATCGAAGTGATTGGGTATGGTGTGTAGAGTAAAACTTAAAATACACATTTTTCTAAATCATAATCTTAAATCTGTGAATAAAAGTATTACTTTGAGAGAGATGACACACAAAAATATACCTATGGCAATTCCTATTGATCAATAACCTTTTTTTAAAAAAATAAATTTTTTGACCAGCTGTTATTTTCAAATTGATATTTTCTGCGAAACCCAAGTGCAAACGATAAAAAAAAAAGACAGTATTGAGTTTGGCCATATCGGAAAGAAAATCAAAAAATTAAACGTGTATTGTTGTTCTCGATTATACCAACAAAATGAATATTAAAACCCGGATCATCTTTGATTTAAAAAAAATTAAAACTTACAATTTTTCAAAAATGAACATAATTAATAAATTAAAATCATTCACAAGTGCTTGTCACTAGAACAATATAGAACGTGGCATAAAACGGAATATGCTGCGTTTAAATGACGCCCAGGTAACAAGCCATTTACAGTCAGTTTAGTTGGCATTAAATCTGTTACATTGTTATGATAACAAATATCGTACACTAGAGGCGACGTCACTTGCCAAGTTAAACGTTAGGTTACTTTGGCGGATGCTCGGCCCTGAATTATAAAATTTTTCATTGATTAAATTTATAACGAGAACAACTTATTTTAAGAATTATAACAATAATATTATAATAACTGCACTCGTTGTGTTTCAAATGCAAATTTAACAGAAAAACCAAAACTCCCATACATGTAAACGACTTATTCTACATATAATTTTTTCAGATCCAAGTACTAAACCATTGTAATAATAATAAAAAAAAAATATTACGTTTTTTGTCTTCATTAATTATATTTACTAATCGTTTTTATGAAAATAGAATCAATAATATTGGTATATATTTATATTTGTTTTTTTCTTAAAACCGATGTCAGTTAATTTCATTTTTATTTCACTTTGAATATTCTTATAATGTCGTAAAAAATTGAAGAATATTCGGTAGGATCGTTTTAGAAATGAGTTAGTTTCCATTTAACGAGGATCTACTGTACAATCACGTAAAACCCGTTACCACCATAGTTTAAAAACATAATTATTAAAAATCAAAAAATATAAAACTTAAGTTCCTTTCGAGACATTCCGTATTGTATCACGTATTACCATTACACAGTTAATAGTTAATATTATAGCGTAGAAAATTAAAAAAAATAAAATTAAATAAATAAAACTGAATACATTTTTACTGATTAAAATAATATACTATTTTATTTAAAAACGTAACGAATAAATGTGTCTTACACTTCGTTGACAAAAATATAATACGTAAACTTACGAAATAAGTATTTTTTATAATATTTACAAAAGTAAGAACAAATTGATTTATTTGTTGGCAATAACATTATTTGTCTCGATTAAATAACAACCAAGTGACAAGTTATATTTTTTTATGAACTCGAGCCTTATTCTAAAACCCACATCGAATCATTTGCAATCTTAATAAAATGACAACTATAATGTAATGAGCGTTATACTATTAATAATTTATGTTATCATCATTGCAATCCTATTAGTCTTCCGCCCAAATTGTTCAGCATTTCGGTGGCGGACCTGGACAATTTTTTCGCCGTGTCCACGGGAAACTGAAAATTGAAAAATGCAAATGTTAATTGAATCATTAAAACTATGAAACATCTGTAGATTGACTTTTTACGTATCCGATATGAAACGGAGCGATCACAAAACGTAAAATTATATTTCAACATTATCAAATCCAACATTAATAATTTTAATATTGTATAGCCGTGCAATAAAAATAATCAACAAACGGCACTCCAAAAGTACTTTAAAAAATTAATTCATATACTGTAGTACCACAACCGAATACTCACAATGTTAAACCGAAGTAATTAAAAGTATTTATCGTATCGATTTATTCGCCAGTGTTCACGAGTATATGATATGTATATTATGAAAAAAAGGAAGAAAAAATTTGAATAATAGTTAATCGTACGCACGAGATTTAACTGTATGGTTATCAATTTCTTTACTTAGTGATCACATTAAATATTTATGTTGACCAGTTGTACCCCTCCCCACCGATTGACATACACTCGAATAGAATTTGTAATATTATCCTGGTTAACCATACATAAAACAAATTTCGTCAAAATTGTACAAATATATTATTTTTACATTACAGTTTGACATAGAGAACAAATTAACTGGAAACTTAAAAAATATTTATCTTAAAGTTGATTTCGTATAACAGTCGGTTTTCAAAATACGTATTCGTCCGAATAATGTAAATTATTTTATTACTGGAATTACTTGCACTTTATCATTCCTAACTCCATTGTATACTTATAGAACCAAATGATAATATCACTAAAGCCTGCAGACTAAGATACACGTTTTATTATAACAGATTAAAGATATATTGTATTTCAGGATCCGGTAATTCATAAAGCATAAACTTGAATCTAGAGCGGAATAAACAACGAAATATATGTTAAAAACTTACAACTACAGTAGTAGAATCACAGATTATAGTGATTAAGTAACACAACGATATTTCGATATTTTATATGTAAATGACGTCAGTAATGATAAGACTGCAAATCACTCCATACTCCGTCAAAACAATAAAATTTCGTTCATCGGGCGAAAAAATCGTTTCTGTAATGGTGATGAATGTTTAAATAAAATGTACTTGGAAATTAATAATATAAACACGAATAACCTTGTGACAGAACAACGCTGAAGAACAAAGACAAAAGTCTTCAATCAAATGCTAAAATCCCCGGGGGTGACGAACAATTTACTTTAAAATTTATTTACTTTATAATTTGAAACACTTAATATAATATTGAAAATCGAAATCAGGCTTAAGGCGCCATGTCAATTGATTTTTGTTAGATACGTAGATTCTTTAGATTGTTAAAAATCATAAATACAGTAATAACTGTGATAATAATAACAATCGAAACCATTTTAATATGATACATAACACTCGCATAGTAATTATAATACGTCCGATGGAAAACCGAATTTGACGTTTAATAAACGAACCAACACTCAATCTTGACCTATATTTAATTTATGAAAGTCATATAATATCATTTATTACATATATTTTATCCGTACGAACTGTAGAACTCAACCGTTCGTCCCAAGCACATAAATCGCGTGTGATTACTAAAATTACGAAACTCGCAAACCGTCATGGTCGCGGTTACGTTGAATCCGATATTGGGTAGGCACACGCTGTGGAGTGGAATAGAAATCATCAATAATTATCGGAAGAAAGTAACAACAATGGTCCTTTTGTCCGTCGGAAACGAGGAAAAATGATATCCCGTTAGGTTGATATTTTTAATGTTAATTTGGAGTGCTTATTATGTGGACAGATTTTATGAAACTAAACGGTAATAAGAAATTTCTACTTGCCAACGGCGTGGCGCGATCATAATAATAATAAAAACGCAGTATTAGTCACTTTGTGGAACAACTACCATGTATTATTTATTATATTTTATCAATTGTGTACGGCAAACAATGTTGGCCAATAACCGCAAGTAAACTGATATTGTAAATATCTATACACACATAAAAAAAAAAAAAAAATGTATTTAATTGATTCGCAATACACGAACCAATGTTTTATTTGTTTACTCAAGTTTTGAATTTATGTCGACCCGATCAGTTTGGTTTACTAATTTATCAATAGAATTTTCAACATTTTAGCAAACCCAAAAAACGTGCACGATATCGTATTATCGTTTTCTAGTCATGTGTTCGAAGCTTTTCATAGTTGAATATCATCGTATACATTTTTTTTTTTCAAATATGGTTAACACATTTTGAAGCTTTTATTACAATTGTTACTAAAATATGAGCAGTGTTTCCCAACTTGTGGTTTGCGACTCGATGTTAGGCCAAAAATATCTTGATTATCAAAAAAAAAAAAAACTTTATATTTACTAGAATGTTGAATTGCGTTCGAGTCTATAATCACTTGTAATTAAATTATTATTAAAATATCATTAATTTTTGTTTTATTTTCCAAAGAATCGCCCACCTAATACAGAGAAAATGTGTGCATTACCATAGCAAAAAAAGACTGGGAAACACTGCTGCAAAGGCTTATCGGTATATGTTTACCGAGAGTACTGAAGTGAGCCTACTGGACAGGGTTTCCACGCCGCCGACCAAGCCTCTTCCGAACCTGTTGAACTTGTCACCGTCGTTGCCGTACTTCTCTTCTTCTTTGGTCACGTCGACCACCGGTAACGGCTGTAACATACAATTGTTGATAACATGTAAATACGTTCGATAAAATACGTCCAGAGACGAGCGCCACCGAACCGCACAGCAAGTGTGAAACGATGGAACGGTTAATGTTCATACAGTTTTTTTATAAAACGTATGAGATTTTTGTCGATCGGTTAAATCATAATATAATTATGTTTTGAAAATGACTCGTCATAATTACAATTTATCGACTGCTCAGTATTGCGGAAGAGTGTGGGATTTTGAGCTATCCAATGGTAATCGGCTTCCGATAAAATTTTAAATAAAGTCGATCAGAAAAGCTATCCGTTTCTTTCAAACTATGTTTATTTTAATTTTTTTTTTTTTTTTATGAACTCGAAACTTAAACTCTGAATACAGTGGAAATTCAGTTGTTTCAAAACCAAGTAACAATCAATTTTGTCATGCCTAGAGAAAATTCGCTGTTTATTTTTGGCAATCAAACGATAAACAATCGTATTATACGTTTAATTTTGAAAACATTTTAAACCATACAAATATTTGGTTTATACATTGATTAACCGAACGAATTATGGGTACAAATACTTTGTTGACACTGGGAAATGTGTCTGAACTGAACTTCTTTCACTTTTAAAAATACGTTTATGCAATTTCTACAATTGTTGTTTAAGTGCAGGTCTATATTATATTTAGGTTATAATTATCTTATATACTGTAATAACAATATTAGCAATTTTAGATTCCGATTTGAATGAGGAATGTATTCGTTATACCATGATGTGTAAGTTTTTTTTGTATCTGTGTACACGATTTTGATCTGAACAGTTGCAAATAAGAAATAAAAAAATATCTAATTGATACTATGGGAGGGAAAGGGTTTAATAAATTAACGTTAATTATGGATGGTATACTTGCAGTTATCAAGATATTTTGACAATTTTGGCTAACGAATTTTAACCATTTGAAGATGTTTGAAAATGTCTAGTTTTTTTTATCATTATTTCGTAAAATGTCCATAAAATAATTTTGGTTTGACAAAAAATTTTGAGAATTGGATACAAATTCAATAAGTAACTATAATTGGTTAATGAAAAAAAAAAAATTGAGTGTAATTACAAAAAAAAATGTATGATCATTCGAATATTAAATATTACTCTGAATCGTTTTACGAGAGTAATGGTACATTGTTTTTAAGTTTAAAAGACCTATACAGCAATAGAATTCATCTAACCATGTACTTTACTCGACAGTAGAATCTTGTTAATTGCAAAACATATTATTGCCAGTAAATGTAAGTTACGTCCCGATAAAAATATACGTAGTTTGCGATTCATGTTTCTCTTACGTAAGTTGTAGCCCGTGTTTCTAGATATTTTAAAAATATTTAAGGTTATAATTATATAGCGTTACGAAGTTAGAGCACCAGAAATAGAAAAAATATTGAAAAAGATCAATATATTAAAAAAAAAAAAAAAAAAAATAGATGAATTAGAAACTAAAAAAGTAACTCTTATTTAATTTGTAAGAAACCTATCATTTAACTTTTTCCCTGCTTCATTATAGACTGGAATAAATAATTAATAAATTAAGTTTTAGTCAAAAAGTGACCATAAATAAATATAATAAATAATAATACTAGGTTTAGTATAAAAAAAAGGTCTTTTTAACCAATTAAAAATGATTAAAAGAAAAACAACAAATTAACCATACCAATATCATTACAGTAATATTAAAAGTCCTAAGTCTGATAAAATGGGAAGGAAAATATTGGTTATAAGTTTATAACATACATTGTAATATATAAAAATACACGGGATGCAACTTACAGTCACCCATTATTGTAGGTGAATATTTAATTTAATAAATAATGATTACATTCGGAACGTATATTATTCCTCACGTGTTTTATAGCATAAGTAATCTCTGTTTTCACACTGGTCATAGTTCGACCTTTGAAGTATAATTTGTTTATACATTTTTAGTTATTGATTATTAATTCTGCCAATACGCAATAAGCGAGAATATTGAAAATATTATATATTATACATGATTGTGTAAATCTATTCTTGAAAATAATAAAACTACTCAAAACAATATTGTTCATCTATTGTAGGGTAATCAAATTAATAACCGTGTTTTTTACTCGTCGTCTTAGTCAGTATTAATACTGATATTAATCAGTTAAATCGATTTATTTTATGGATATGTTTTTTGTTTTAGAAATAATTATAATCTACGTAAATAATAAATTGAAGATACAATCTGTTTGAATGATTCGTAAGACATAAACAAATCGAAGTATGTTTAACAATACTTCAATAACATTGTACGTATCGTACTAATAATAGAATGCTAATAATATATAAACTATTTTTTTTTTCGCACATAAATAAAACATCGGAAACGCCGGATGTAACTACTATTACATGATTAGCACAAGACGTATCTTGAAGGATTTGCTGATTTAAAAAATGAACGAATACATGCAGATCGTGTTAAAATAATATGAGTCAATGAAAAATATTATTAGAACAAACTGTAAAGCAGTGTAGACCATATTGGTAAAGGGGTTTGTATTGTGTTAGTCACTGGGACAGTCGAGTTTGAAAATAAATCATCGATAAAAGTGAAAAACGACATTGTTGGAGTGTAATGTTTTATGCAATAACTTTTAACTGTCTTATAATTCTAATAAATGTAATAATTTTTATGAACTATGGATTGTTATGTTATTGTTATTCGTTATAAATAATTAAATAAATCAATTAATACATGTGTAATTTATAAATGTTCATATTTTTTAATGATTCCCATTAAATTGCGGTCGGCAAGTAATTTTCATAGTTAATGTTCGGCCTTTTCTAAAATCCTAGGGGTACCTAGGGTTGACACCGAGAGGACAGCGTGCAGCGGTGTTCGTGCGCACAGTGACGTGGTGACGCGACAATACAGCCTAATACAATTGCTTAGCCCTAGAAATCTATCAGAGGGATCTGTAACTCTTGGCTCACGTATTTATGTACGTATTTCATTTAAACAATTAAATCGATTGGTTAATTATCAAGGTTTATGCAATAGTGTTTCAAAATTTATCGAAGTCAATTGATATATTATTTTATTTATTTTTCTTGTTTATACTCGAATTTAACAATTGAATTTGTGTGGATCAAAGTAACAAATAAATCATATATATATATATATATATATATATATATATATATATATTATAAAGTAGGAGGAAAGTTGGAGGTTTATTGTTTAAATATTTTGCTTAGGATTTGAAATATGATTGCCGGGTTATTGAAATTTACAAGCGATGATGGGATTTTCCTTTCCCCTTAGTACTATCCCGGTTCGACTCGACTGCGAGCCGAGATACTTGCGACGAATCACGACAATTTATTATGGCCTTAGACAGCAAAATAGTTATCTCATCAGTACCTAAGCCTGCTAATATCGAGGAGTTATTGAGGAGTTTGACTAACCTCCTGGAAATAAAAATTAAAAATTGACTAGTCATGTCACCTGACTAATGATATTTATTTTTTTGTTCGTTTGGTTCTTTATTGACTCTCGCCCGTGTTGTTTTCGCCTCTGTGAATCGGGACTTTTTTACTATTTAATTTGACCAACGCTTCTGGCATTATTTCTAGTGACTTGTGAAATTATAATTCTTGTCAATGATTATGGTCGCGGGCTGCAGTGGTGGACCGGTGCTTGATCACAGTTGGTTTCAGACATCTCAATCGGCCAATAGAGGCAGATGTAGACTGTGTTTGCCCTGTTCGTACACGTATTCAATAACAACCCTCTACGTTGAACACAACTAGAGGGACGCGAAGAAGGTCTATAACACTCCTTAGTTCAAATTCAGCGCCAAATTCTGGTTTCTTATTTTTTAAGTCAATCTATAACAGTTACACAGAAATACCGTCAATTTTATTATTAGAGAATTTACCTACGCTCAGTTTTAGAACTCTAGTTGTGCCTACGCACTCCGTACATGGAGTATACTGAAAAGGAACTGCTATCGATTGGAAACTAGGACACCGGGCAACTACACAACTTCATTTGTAAGTTGTCCTCGCACATGACATTTCAAATCAGTGTCGCCTTACGACTTACGTATTCCTCCATCTTCCGTATGTGTGCTTATTAATATTCATTATTCATTATTGATATACTTACAATTTTTATTCAGTTTTTCGTAATAATGTCTAGTAATGTCTATAGAAGCGATGAAGATATTATTCTGTAAGTATCATATAAACGCCACATGAGAAAACTGCAGACTAATCCATCGTTATATTCAAATGTTGCTTCATAGTAAATAAAAATTAATATAAAAAAAAAAATTTAAATTGATAATTCTTTATATATATTTAATAGGCAAGAGCGCAGTACTATATTACAAACATTACAGTCTACAATCATACCAATATATAACAAAAGTTATCTTTTTAATTGTATATGTATTATCAAAGGAAAAATCAAACTTTTTTAAATAAAATTTTATTGATAGGTCCGTATGATGATCTATAAAAAAGGATCATTGTCTCTAAACTTAAAAGTTAGAATATTAAGGGTTAATTTTCTTACTAACTCTAATTAATATTTTTTTTCATAAGCTACTATGGCGTTGCTCTTATTCTAAGAGTAATTTTTAAACACTTATGGTATATTTTAATATTGTAAATATTAACTGAGTAGTTATTAAATCGCAATGCAACTAAAATTTAAAATAATTTTGTCGAATACATTAGTAGTTGGTGATTAATTATTAAATGATTATAAGTGAATGTTTGTTTTTAGAAATTTAGAAAAATTATACAGTTTCAGTAAAATAAACGAACAATCTAAGTAATACTTATATTGTTTATATTTATGTTATACACACAGGGACGGCGCGAGGGGGTGGACAATAGGGGCAGTTGCCTAGGACCCCGCGCCTTAAATTATAATCAAGGCCCCACGGTTCTGATTTTACTGAACTTAAAATATTTTATTAATATAAAGTATAAAACCCAACATTAATTTTGCCCAGGGCCTCGCAAACTCTAGCACCGTCATTGTATACACATCATATAATACTCGTGTATTCAAATATTTTACTACTTGTATCATGAAAAGTGTCGGAAGAAAAGAGAAAAATGTGAAGAAAAAAAAGAAAAATTAATGGCGTTGTGAAGTAGAAAACTTATAGCAACACGAACGCTACCTAACCAGTTATAACAATTAGGAGTTAACATGTAATATTTTTAACTATATTTTCGAGAAGAGATAACGTTATTCTTGATATTTAGATCTTAGTGGATAGCTGCGAAGGACATAGGTACGGGAAAGGACTTAATTAATGTTGTTTACAAAAGACACTGAACACCTACTCATACGATGGTTTAAACGCTTTTTTATGGTACTAAAAATGATAACGACATTGTCGAGTATTTAAAACACGAGCTACAAAAAAAATAATACACATATCACGCAGTGATTGCATTGCGTCCTTGTGGGTGTACTGATAAAATGATTTATACCTCACCTGAACGTCAATTGTTTGTAAACCATTCGATAACAAAATTATACCTTAGTAAAAATCGCGATATTTTCGAATTTTTTATTCTTCTTCAACCGGTGGAAATATAATCAAAAAATATAAGTACGACACGCCGATGAATCATAATAGTATGTCTAACGATCCATAGCGAAATAAAAAAAAAAATCAAAAAATAAAGAATTATGTAAAAATAACTATGTACAGTTTCCTGCCGATGGTTGTTAAAATAATGACCCCGAAGAGAATGTACGCGTCAATGTGTTGTTTATAATTTTTATAATTTTATGCTGCGTGTGTCGTGGTATTTTTCTGTACATGTGTATAGTGTCGTGATGGCCAGAAAGATTTATAGCTGTTTAACGTTGGTATGTTAGTCGGGCGTAAAACTCACAATAAATGTTACCGAACACTTCGGGACACATGTGTAGTTTTATATTAGTTTTCTGTGTCGATATCATGTATATTAGAAAGTCGTAGTTAATTTAGATCGTGGCTAGATTAAATCGAAACACCGGTTTTAGGTGATTTTCAACCCGTCTTGACCATTTTTTTTTTTTCGATTAACCATTCGGAATAGTTTTTTCGAGCATAACGATTATAATGACTATAATGTCGAGTTGAGCTACAAAAAATTATACGCTCACAACTGAACGGTAGAAGCGATTACTACGTTTCAACATGTACGTACCTAACACGTCTAAACTAAACAACTGTTTGATTCTATTATATTATGTTTCAAATAATGCTGTAGGCACGATCTCAATGCAACCTAATTGTAGGTAATGTTTACGTTTTAATATTAATCAACGAGTGGAAGTCGGTGTCCGGTTTAAGAGGGATGTCGTTGCAGCGGTGATGGCTCCCCTCCCCATTAAATGTTCGGTTATGGCTATTCACATAATATCCCATAAGAATGCATAATGTGAGATTTGATCGGATTTACACATATTGTTTTATCAATTCGACATCACTATGGAACCTACGTGCGATCGACAAACCTGCAGAACTGTTGTAGCGCATTAGGTTAACAACATTAACGGTGTATTTACATACGTGTAGACCGTGATTTCGAAATCGCTATAATATAAAGTGTTTGTGCGCGGAGACGTGTTTCAAGGATGATATTATTTTTGTATCCTGATTGTGTGTTACCGACGGGAATCCGACGGGATCGAGGCAAGTAATGTCCGGGCGCGTATCGAAATCGAAAGACAAATAAAACAAATCGAATGACCGACATTCGCGCCGTGTCAACAGTAATGATTAAACGACCAATGTCAGATCGGCACTCGTAATAGGCAACGGTTATCGTAATAGTGCCCGGACGCGTACGACGTAAAATATGATTATAATCTACAGCAATACGAACGCGTACTTTCAAAAAATTCAACAGCTTGTTCTGGACGAAGGACAACTGTCGTTTCTCCCGGTCTTCATCCTCAACGTTGTCGGCCAAAACGTCCAGGGACGGATCGATCGGTTGGTCGGCCGCGGCGGGTCGCGGTGACGGTCGTTGTTGTTCCGCGAGCGACGGGCAACAGCAGCAGCAGCAGCAGTACAGGACGACGAACGCCGCGAACAACGGGAACGTTTTCATGCCGGCGACCGAAACAGGAGTGCGAACGAAACGGAATAGGAAACGGACGAAAAGCGATTGGCGAAATCTCCAAGATCCAATGCGCTTCCGCGACGGCGGAATGATTATTTAAAAAAAAAAAAAAATTTCAAAAAAAAACGTCGGTGGCGCTGGGTCGGTTGGTGAATTTGCAATGCGCGCGCGTGCGCCCGAGTTTGTTACGCACTGCCCGGGACACCGCGAGCCGGACCGTCGAAAGCTACAATACCTGTTTCGGTGTGTTACGGAGCGAGTGAAAGTGGAGTGTAGAGTAGTGTTACATTACGCTGTGCACGTCAGCGGTAGTAGCAACGGTTAGGTTATGTTTACGATACGGTGCCGTGATTTCACCGCATCGAAATCGTCAGAAATCCCGAATTCGGATGACGCTGAAGACGTGTCCGCCGCTGCGGTTTCCGTTTGGTTTTTACGCCTCGTGCGTGCAAACAGCGTTCGGGTCCGATAGCGGTGGTCAAACGCACCGAACGTGATGGGAATCACGAATCGGACCGACCCTGTAACCGAGGCTTACATGGTACATAGGTTTTTCGTCGAAAACCGATGTTTAAACCCGTACGACAGGGAACGGGGGAACGAAAATTATAAACAACCACCGACACAAGATTACATTAATCGAATCGATAGAACCGATGTGTACGGATAGTACGAACAGTTTGTTACCGATAACGCTTATGGCTCAAGACCGAGGTTACGGTTAACGGCCAGGTGGGCAGGTGGTCGGCTTTGTTCTAATAACGGTAAGATGGTTTTTGGGCCTAAGGTGTTGATTTTTAATTCATCGGTTTCCTTGTCGGTCACATGCGTACGTATCACCAAATCGGTCGGTCTGTAAAACTATACAAGTTATCCTCGCTTATAATGAAACTCGATACACGTTTTTCCTCGCGTACTATTCCATCGGCTTATTAAAGTTATGTTAGAATTGTATTTATAAAACATTATACTCACCACTCTAGGTATTATTAATACGCATGGCTTTAGAGCGAAAATCAACTGCGGATACAGCACAATATTGTTACGAAATAAAATTTATTTACTATTTCAAATTATAAAAACACAGCAAGCATTCAATATCGAAAAATGTACCGCACATCTTAAAAGCTGTACCGGTCTGTTAGTTATGGCAAATGTGTTTAATACGATTCCGAACAGTTCGACGCTGTTTGAAATACTTTATACCACGAATAGATCTATTTAAGTATTTGCTTCAATACCACCGTTTATAGATGTACTTAAATCATATTACATTTTGTTTGTATTTCCTTAAAATAACTAAACACGAATTTCCTATTATCGGATCTGTTTAATAAAAATATTAAATTCCTAAAAAAAAAAAAAAAAATGTGTACACTTATTTTGAGCTTTATATACATTTGAAGTCGCATAAAACAACAAAGTAGGTTTCGACAACTACACACAACTATTGCGACCAACACAATATATTGTTTAAATTTTTCAGAAAAAAAATCTGTGTTTCTAAACAATACGGTAATATTGTAAATCGATGTTAATTTGCCAATGTGTTAAAATTATTTTTACATACGCATACTATACACACATATTATACTACAGAAAACACACTAACATGGTGGTTTTCACGAATCTTTCAGAATCTTATCAGAATTATAATACTATAGTCTGTATAATTAAGTCTATGCTCGTGGATATGATGATCGTTTACAACACAAGCACAATTCAAATAGTACGGTACGTGTTTTCGAAATCTGTTGACGTTTTAAAGTTGGTACCACATATTTAGATGGAGTGTGATACATACTCAATAAAAAAAATACTGTCGAACCAACGAGATTAAGAAAAAACACTTTAACCATTTTCGAATGTATTTCCTCTTTGTACGAGATTAAATAATTCCTCTATCTGTATCGATAAGTTCTTCACTCAAATAGCATTGATTATTATATCATTACTAGGTACATTTCTTAAGTTTCTTACCGAATGATGAGAAAATTACAATTTAATAGTTATTTTTCTTGAATAATACACTATGCACTACCATGTCAAAGTATTTTTATTTATATTTTGTTTCATAAGGAACACTAGGCCTTGTTGAAAAGTCTCGTGAAAAGGCCTAAGGTTATTACAAAAATTATTAATATAATAAATAATGTATAATTATAATTATAATTACGAATTAAGAAGTATGAATAAAAAAAAAGAATCTTGAACATTGCATTAGAACACCGGCGTCGGTCGTACTTATACCCGCCATGATTAATCACAGATGTACAAATATTTCATAAAATTAGAGTTAATACAAAATATTCAACATACATACAGCGAATATGTAGTTAGAAAATATAACATAATAATGCTTTTGAATCGTAAGGAACCCAATTGTTTTTTAAATACCGATAAGGATGAAATTACGTAATTATATTATCCGGCATGAAATCAACAAATGTTGTTACTAATAACAACGTATGATTGATATTCGTGCTATACACAACACAAAAATGCAATAGCATGAGTCGTGTTCGATAAACATATCACACCTCGAGAGCGGGACTAAATATAAAAAAATAATAAATAAATACCTGGCCGAGTGAATAAAAAAAAGAAGATTCTAAAAAACACGTCTGACATAGAAATACGTATGCAATTGATACCTGTCTACTGCAGTTTTCGTTAGGTATATCAAAATATTATAAACTCAAGCTTATTATTCATACGCGCTTAGTGCATTCCACAATACTACAACTCTTTGGAGAGTGCGAGTACCGCTATTACCATTTTTAAGTGCCGACGTCATGGGTCTAACTCATAATAACAACATCAAATACAATTGCAATTACGTGGTGCAACATCATACTAATCTTGCGATCGATATGGCCCATATTGTTTTACGACATTTTAACTTGCAATAAGCACTATACGCGTTATATAATAGTACATAAACACTTCACGGTTTGGTGTATCTACACCTATGTAGTATGTAGTAAGTTCCATCAAGTCCACCCGTGAAACTTGGTTTAAATATCATTAAAATCCATAACGTTCATTGAGCCACTAAATTTGGATTATTTTAAATTGCACACCCTAAATGAGCGGTTAGTCAGTAGATGTCGATCATTGCTAAAAACAAAGAGGCTGAGCAGAAGAAATCGAATTAATACGTCACCCAATTGAATCGTACTTCATGTTCACGTGACGGAACACAAACTTTCTATTTTAGCACCCTACATCATTAAATAATTAGTGTTCATTCAGAGTGTGTACATTTGTCGCTATCGCTATTACTCTGGTATTCTTCTAACCCGGAACATAAACATTACGCGCAGAGCTCACCGGTTATAACGAGAGGTTTTTTTTTTTTTTTTTTTTTATACGTTTTAATTTTTTATTTCAAACGTGATTATCTGAAAACACGTGAAACTGATACGATTATTATTTTATATATTATATTATATTTATTGACTTCCACGTCTAACGTTTTATTTGGGTTTTCTAACTTTCTCTCTGATTATGTTTTTCATTGCGATGCACTATTACGGTAATATTATGTCAGATATGTCGACCGCGAATTACACAATCATACGTACACATATTAATCGTAAGCGACGAAAACGACTAAGGCACAAAATTTATATTTAATCCAAATATTTAACTAGGGCTTACGTATCGATTGCATATTTTCTATTCAAAAGTCTTAGAGATTTATTTTAACATTTCTTAAATTTGTCTTAAGTAACCATGAAGTGAAAAATGAAATATTTAGTTGCATATTTCTTGCACGTTCCGATGACGTTTAGATGCTATTTTATGCATTTATTCTCATTTTAAAACTGGAAAAATCTATAAAATCCCTAATTTTATAATACTTATAATTATTTTTTTCACGTTCGACATAAAAATGTTACATATTTCATACTTTTATTGCAAGTTAAAGTGCTTGTATGAATATGTTAAAGTGCAGAATCCAGTGTCTTTTTTATTTATTTTTTTTTATTGTTCATATTATAAAGTCTTTAAAAATTTAAATCAAAATTGATGTTTGATCGTAATTAAATTATTCAATTGGTTTGGTAAGGAACAAAATATTATGATACGAACATATTAGCACAATTCTGAAAATATTTTACCCGTTTGGTTATTTTCCATAAATGTACAACTATTTTATATATGTCGCATCCACTTAGTGTAATCGTAGTTTTTACGAAATTGATATTCAATTCACGAACTTAGATCATATCCTCAGAGTCGTAGCAATCAAATATTGCGTCCGGGGTGAAACATCAAAATGCATCTTTAAGTATTTTTTATTTATAAAAAAAACTCACATAAAACTGAATATTTTTTATAAACGTAAGATAAATAATGATTTTTCTTTATACTCGTAATTATGTAAGCGTTTGTTAATTTTATTTAAATCAATAACTTATTAAATTATAAATATACATAATAATTATAAGTAGGTATATAGGTATAACATTTAGTTATAAGTTATGTAAATAAATATACAATATTACTTTTACTTACAAGTAATAAGTTATAAGTGATAATTAAATTGCAAATTTTTCATTTTTCCCACTACCAGAAATTGCGCCCGGGGCGCAGGCACCTCTAGCTCTCTCCAACTTTTTATGACCCTACATATCTTTTATGTCGTTTTTAGGTTTATGTAATGAACATTTATTTTGTCCATTTCGTGAAATGGAAACCCGGATTTTACACTTAACGTTTTTTTTTTTTTTTTTACATTAAATGTACAACTATTTGTATAATCAAAATACAATCAAAATATTATATTGTATAATTGCATTTTTATATTTAAAAGAAAAATTATTTTACAAATGATCTGAAAAATTTTAATTATTATGATTAGTTATTATTTACATTATCTGTTATTACAATTTGAAGGCAACGACTATTTGAATAAATAGAAGGTTTGAAACAAATATACCAATATTTATACATTTTCTTTTAAACAAACAACTAGAAATTCTTGTCCTCTCGGAATTTTAAGCAATTGTTTCACGTAGTGTTATGACTCTATATGATTAATCTCCTCAGTTTTAAAAAAAATTAGATGCTGCAAGCTTTACACTTACATAAATATACAATCCTTTTAATAGCCCAAAAATAGTTCCAAATTAATGAAACTCATGTTCATTTTGATTGACAATACAGCAATTACATTCTGATAGACCTTGGTCTACTTTAGGTACAGCTTCCAAAATACA